ATGTTGGCCCTGGACATGTGCACTCAGTCCCCTCACCACTGATCCCTAAACAACACAGAGTGACTAGGATTTGCACAGTGTGTACATTATCACAAGTGTTATAGGCAACCTGGAGATGATCTTAAGCAGGTCATAAGTAAACATTATGCCATTTTATTTAAAGGACTCCAGCAACCAAAGATTATGGCATCCATGGGGGTCCTGGAACCAACCCCTCAGAACAGCCAGGGTCAATGCACAGTCATTAGATGTGACCTATGTGGTCTTGTGTGACACAAGTAGACTCCTTGGACACTGATGCCTGGGGTGAACTATTTCTTGATTCCTGGGCTGAGAAGCAGTTGAAGGCACACATTATAAGAATTCTTTTTTTTTTTTTTTTTGTCTTTTTGAGACAGGGTCTCACTATGCAGTTCAGGTTGGCCTTGAGCTCACTTTGTAGCCCAGGCTGGCCTCGAACTTTCAACAATTCTCCTGTCTCAGCCTTCTGAGTGTTGGGATTACAGGTGTGCACCACCACACCCAGCTATAAGAATTTTTTCTACTGTGATCTTATCGGTTGGAAAGAAACCTGGTGTCTTGGTTCCTTTTCTCTTGCTGCTGAGTCAAAAATACCTGATGCCCAAAATTAAGCAAGGAAAGGTTTATTTAGCTCACAGTTTGTGGAGGTTTCAGTCCATATCAGCTGGCTCCAAGGCAGGGTGGCATGACACAGGGGCAACAGTTCAAGGTGGCAGAAGACAGCAAAAGCAACAAGAGCAAAAGGGGAGAGAAAGCAAGCCTGTTTTCCTCCCATATATTGTAACCAAACTCCCCCACCACCTGTGAATGTAGTACTCACACCACATTTGTGCCCTCCTCTTGCACAGGATGAAGATGTTCACAAAGTGAGGACCCTGGTCCCCTGCTGAGTCACTTAGTTAATCTTCTAAACTTCTCAAGCTGACACAATGTATCAGCCATTACAATCCACCACTTGTCAACTTGACAAACAGACACACTTCTTTGAACCAGTCTCCACATACAAAGGCATGTTTATTTTTATCTTTTAACAACTTGAACATTATAATACAGGTTTAACAATCCTTAAGAACCAGTATTATGTGTATCAACATATATTATATTAAAACCAGGACATTTCACCCCTGGCACCTCAAAGACTTATGCACCTTCTTTTATGCAAAAGGCATTTAGTCCATCTGCAAGAGTTGCCAAAGTCTTAGCAATTTCAGCAATGCTGAAAAGTCCAAGTCCCAAGTCTCTGATATTTAAGGTACTCTTAGCTGCAAGCCCCTGTACAAATGAAAACAAGTTAAACACTTTCAACATTCAATGGCACAAGATAAACATTTTCATTCCAAAAGTTACAAACAGGGGATATAAAGAATTAAGACCACAGCAAGTCCAAAATCCAGTAGAGCAGACATTTTAAGTTCTGTAGTTCCATGTCCAGCATCACAGGCAATCTGTGGCAAACTGTGAGCTCCAGAGGGGTTGAATGACTCCATCCCTATGGTACTTCTGGTGGTTACAGCTTCCACAGCTTCTCTCTTAGGCCCACTTTGCTCCCTCCTTGCAGATTTCCTTAGACCACCCATGTTCCTGGATTTTCCAAACTTCTGGTGTCTCCACTGTATCTTTGGCTTCACACTCATAGCTTCACATATTGCCCTCTTAGGGGCACATTGCCTGGCCTCCCAGGCCTTCTAAAATCAAGGTGGAAGCCTTCTTAACCCCACAACTTTTGCATTCTGCATGCACCTAAACTAGTGTCATGAGTATAATGCCAAAGTCTGTTGCCAACTGGAGCAGTAGCCAGGCTTTCTTCTCTCTTGATCAGAGGGGTGAAGAGCTTGGATTGCTGGGCACTCTAAATCCAATTCTGAGGAAAAAATTTTCTGTGATGCTGTCATTCTGGAACATGGTGCTCTGTGGCTTTCTCCTCAAAGCAAAATCTTTCATTTTTGCAGTTTTGAGGCTGCAAAGTGTGGAGACTTGCTGCTTCTTGTGATGCCCTCAGGCAATCTTTTATATTTTCCCCAATCCTTCCTAGTAATCTAGATCTTCTTAGCTCTATTTTTACAGTCCACAGCTATACTGGAGCGTCCTCTTACAACATTTTAAATCATTCTACTGAGCTCTTTGCTCTTGATTCTGAACATAGATTTGGCCAAAAGTCCCAAACAGTAGTCATGCCACTGCTTCAACATTAGACTACTTTGAAATTTCTTCTGCCAGATTAATTAGTCTGCCACCCTTAATCTCAGTCTCAGGCAAAGTCTCTGGACACAAGCAAAATGTAGACAAACTTTCTGCCAAGCCACAACACACCATCTTCCTAACACAAACCTCCTGGGCCTGGTTTGTTTTATTTATTTATTTATTTATTTATTTATTTATTTATTTATTTATTGGTACCAGGAATTGAATTCAGGACCTTGTGCTTGCTGGGCAGGCACTGTGCCCCTGAGCCTGATCTTTACTGGCAGGAGTTCTATCAGCATTCTGGTCTTCTGATCTCTGACCAGAATCTCCCATACAGAATAGCCTAGGACGTTTCAGCTTTATACTCTTTTGGGTGACATCTCTGAACCTTTCCAAACTCTTCCTATAAGCCATTCTCAAAGGCTTTGAACCACATGGTCAGGTATAGTCACAGCAATGACCCCACTTCTCTGGTACCAAATTCTGTCTTTGTTACTTTTCTTTCTTCTTGCTGAAACAAAATATGTGATGCCCAAAATTAAAGAAAGAAAGATTTATTTAGCTCACAGTTTGTGGAGGTCTCATTCCATATCAGCTGGCTCCAAGGCAGGATGGCATGGCACAGGGGCAACAGTTCAAGGTGGCAGAAGACAGCAAAAGCAGCAAGAGCACAAGGTGGGAGCAAGCCTCTTTTCCTCCCTTATATTGTAACCTGGCTATCCTGCTCCCCAGGGTGGGTGCAGCACTCACACCATTTCCGTGCCCTCCTCTTGCACAGGCTCAGTATATTAACAAAGTGAGGACCCTGGCTCCCTGCTGAGTTGCTTAGTTAAATTTCTATGCTTCTCAAATTGACACAATGTATCAACAATTACACCTAGATTTAAAAAATAGGATAATGAGGTCAATTATGGAGTACAAAGAAGTCCTGAAGGAAAGAGGAAACAGCGTTTAGGGGTGTAGCCTGGGTTTCTGTCTCACAGGATGTTCTTGGCCCTGCTGTGCTCTCAGTCTCTGTCATTCTCTAAGGTTTCTCCGTTGCTCTCTCCTCTTTGGGTCTGACAGGTGCAGGCCCAGCTTTTCTGTCCCAGGGGAAGACAGCTTTTTCCTCCAGAGGACGCTGATTTGCCCAACGGGCCACATGCATACCCTGTGAAGTTATCACCATGCCTGTCAGAATGCTAGGCATGGCCTAAACGTGAGTCTGGGTTTATCAAGGAATAGGCCACCCACAGAATTACGCATTGCAAACTGCAAAGTGCTGGGCACCATTTTCACACCAGCAAAAATCAGGAGGTGGTAGACTGTGTCTTCTTGTCCATGCGTGTTAACAGGGTCACAGTGGTGCAGGGAAGAAGTGACCTAACGGGACCACATTCCCTCTCCTCCACCAGGGCTCCAGCTTGTGGAGAAAGTTCACTGTGGTACAACTGCATTCCCCCTCCTGGCTTTCCACCCACTACAGCCTGGGCTGAAACGCTCCGCCACCAGCTCTGAGCATGTCTGCTCTTCTGCCTGCTGAGAGGAGCAAGGGGCCCATGTTGTCATTTCGTTAAGCTTACAAGCAATCATTGTTGAAAAGCACTCATCTGTAGTTGCTCCTGATAATGCCTTACAGGAAGAGCAAATTGAAGAAAATTTGCCACCTCTATTTGAATAATATGTTCCCACTTACTTACCTTTAGAAATGGCAGTGCACAATTGGTGGTCTATTTGATAGAGAAGACACATCTTTTAGCCTATGATGGCAAGAATGTCAACATTTGTCACCTTAAGTGAGTGACAGGCACAAACAGTCCATTGGGTCCATTCTGAGCAGTGCTTGGTTGAAATGTGTTTGTTTCCATGTGTGATAACCCTAAGCTCTGGTTGGATTTAAAAGGGTTGATTTAGAGACCTTGAGCCTGAGAAGATATTGCCCCCTACCCTGTTACCCTTTTGCCTACCCTGTTACCCTTTTCCCATCATCTCCTGGTGGCCCTCAGCACCTGGTGGCCCCACTGTCCACACAGCTCTGTGTAAATTAAGATATGACCCTGTTTACCTGTTGGAACATTGACATGACAAAATAAAAAACCTCCATGGGTAATTACCACATGAACGGGGAGCTAACCATGTATTTTCCCCTCCCAAAGATGCTGAGAAGTTCTAGAGTGTTTTCCCAAATGGTCTTTCTTCCTCCAAACTAATGATGCATTCATGATCTTTCAGATCTGCATAGAGGAAGGGAGATACAGGTGTCATCCAGGGAAGGAGGACTTCCACTTTGTCAAGGTGGCCCATTTCTACTTCCAGGAAACCAGTATCCAATTTCATTTGGCCCTTTTTCCCTAAATCACAAGCAGCAAGTCACAAGAAACATGGATCTTTGGGAGCATTAGTGTAGAAATCTTTTTCAACCACTGAACAGTTTACCCTGAGCATCAGTTGGGCAGGTGTCATTTCAACCAGTTAATTCTGGTACTGAATAAATTTGATAAAATTGTCATTTTTATATTTCCTGCTATATTATCTTATAAAATTAATAGAAAGTGTGGAATTTTTGGTCATCCTGTATTTAAATAATTGGACTGGTAAGTGGTTAAAGCTATAGCATCGAGTCTTAGAAATTTTCACTGTGGAAATGCAGGCTGGCTTTAGCGTGACCATCCAGATTCAGTCCCCAGAATCTGGCCATACTCATTACCATATTTTGCCCTCCAGAATTGCCCTCAAAGGAAAGATTAAGTCACCTTTGTATTCATGATGAGCCTGAGGCTCTCAGGGGATAAGAAAACCAAAGTCACACTGTGATGTAGAGGGGTGCAACTTGCAGCACAGCTGTGTTTAAAATAGATAATTTATCACATACACATGGATCACTACATAGCCAAACCATGTCTATAGTGTGCAGAACACAGCCGCCCAGAGTACACTCACAGAACAGAGCAGAACCAGTGCTGGGTGCAGAATAGATGGTGCTCAGCGAGTCCTTGTGGAGCAGGTCTGCACAGCCCTATACCCATCCAAACCCATTCAAGTTCACAGAAGAGGCTGAGGAGGGTAAGGCACTTGGCAAGAGCAGTGCCCACAAGACACAGGTTCCAGTGAGGCATGTGTGTCCTTTATTCCTGCCTTGAGGGAACCCGGAGGAAGGCTTTGCTTTCCTACAAGTGGGAACCAGGGCAAGGAGAAGGCGTACTAAACACTTTGGCAAGGCCGCCTGCTCCACGGAGAGTCCTTCAGAAGGGTGTCCTTGGTCTGTGGCTTCAGGACTGTGGTGGGTCACTAGGTACAGAGTTCTCAGAGACACCAGGCATCACCTGTCGTTCTTCTGACCTATGTCATTAGGATCAGTGCATCCTAGCAACAATGGACACCATCAAATGCATGCCAAAACAATGGACCCCATCAAAGTGGATGCTGCCATCAAAGTGTCTGCTGGCATCTCTGGCTCGCTGGGCCTGGGGTGCCCTGATGATGCCATGTGGGTCTCCGAAAGCCAATTCCTCTGTATCTTCTGTCTCATCTCCTATAGCTTGGTATCATGGATACTGACAGTGTGGAAGGTTAAAATTAAGATTTTTTTAACAAGATTTTTAACAAGTTAGAATCCAGGTGAGGAAGAGGAGATGTGGTGGGGTTGGCTCAGCAGACAATGTTCCCAGTACACTCTGAGTCCTTGGTCCCAGGCTCAGAGTCCTCTGTCCTTGGGGAGGGCAGCCTCCCTGTGCTACGAAGGCACCAGGAATGCCTTTGGGAAGGGGCCCCTGCCACGCAGAAGGCATGAAGGAACATACAACAGTAGGGGCTTTTCTCCAAGGTTTCATAAATAATTGGGCAGCAGGGGACGCAGAACCTGGGATCTACAGCTTGTTCTCCTCAAAGAGGATCTGCGCATAGACGGTGTTGGTTGGGGTGCCCTTCGCAGCCCGGGGGGGCTTGGTCAGCTCCAGCTCAGCATAGGTCAAGTTCTCCTCAGTGATCTTTGGCTATTAAAAAAAAAGAGAGATAGAGAAAGAAAACCACCATGCTAGCTGACCACATGCAGCTCCATACTCCTTCTGCAAACATGAAGTTTTGCAGCATTTGGGGATTTAGAGGAGAAATAGTGGACACAAACACTATAAAGGGTGTAAAAACTCATAATTATCAAGCTAGACAGATTTCACTGTTATACCTGGCTCTCTATGCCCTACATATAGACACTGTGGTGTAGGTATGTTAAAGTAGATATGAACACTCACAACAATTAATAATCCCTAGGCCTCAAAAATAGTTTAACTCTGAGAAATCAAACATAGCTAACATTTTCTGATCAAAAGGAAATAGAAAGGTGGAAACCAAAACAACCATCCTAGGTATCAATAATGAACCTGGAAATTTTTGTAAATGACTTAACCTATATAAAGCTAAAATTTCAGAGTATCTTGGAAATAATGATTTTAAAAAAGTTACTTGCCAAACTAGAGTGTACAGTTGAAGTAAAGCTCAAGAAAAGTCATAGCTTGAAATACTAATGTTAAACAATCTGATTTGGTCAAGCATGCAACTCAAGGAGTTAGAAAAAGAACAAAATAAGTGAAAGAAAAGCAGAAGAAAAAAAAATACAAATAAAACTGAGCCATCAATCAAAAATAAACAGTACAGTATCTAAGAGTTAGTGTTTGGGAAATAACAATAAAACAAACTAAAAAGGGAAAAAAATACAAATGAATAAAATAGGAAATGAGAAAGGGAATAGAATGTAAATGAAGGAAAGTGTAAACATTTTGTAAGACTACTTAACTTATAAGAAAAATTTTAAAATACAGGGTAAAATGGTAATATTTCAGAAAAGTATAAATGGTAATGGAAATTTAAACGTACTAATTATCATAGAAAGGGGGATGAATAGGGAGAGGGAGAGAGGGAGGAGAAGAGGAGAAGGAAGAAGGGGGAGAAAGAAAGGAAGGAGGGGGAGGGAGAAGGGAAGGAAGAAAGGAAAGAAGGAAGGAAGGAAAGAAGAGCTGTTTGCAAATATTACCAGACTAGCAGCTTTGTAGAATTTCTAAAAGAAAGTCCTTTAGGGAACAGACAATTTCAATGTAATTAAGTTGATCCAGAGCATAAGAAAGGAAGAAAAAATTCACATATTTTAGAACAAGATCATTTATTAATATAAAGTTTAAGTCAAATTTATTCAGAGAAAATGAAGAAATGCATTAAGAGATAATCATATTCAAGTTGATTTTATTTCAGGAATGCAAACATGGTTCAATATTAGAAAAATCTATTAATATAATTCATAAGAGTAAAAGATTAAAAGAGAAAACCATATGATTATAGTTGCTAGAGACATTTAATGAAATTTTAAATGCATTTTTGTAAAAAACAATTTTTGAATGAAGTAGTCATAGATGTATATTTTCTTAATATGATTAAGAAATACTATTTAAATAAAGAATAGTTGGTGATCCAAGTCATGATATGAAAAATATAATATATAACTGAACTAATTTAAAAACTGTAGTATGTACAGATAGTGAAAAAGTATGGGAATTAAATTTTGGGGTGGTATTTGGAAGCCACTTGAGAAAAATAAAGTCATATTGCTGTGTCATTCTTTATACCCAGGTAAATTCCAAATGAATTAAAAATCTTCGTGTAGAATATACACCCATAAAAATATTGGAAGAATATTTGAAGAATATGGGTGGGGCTGGGGATTTAGCTCAGCGGCACAGGTCATGAGTTTGATTCCCTGTACTGGAAAAAAAAAAAAAAAAAAAAGAATATATGGGAAATTAAAACAAAATCTTAAGTATGGAAGATATTTTAAAGTATGACACAAAATCCTGGAGCAATGGGAAAATGGTGTAGATGTGTGTGACAGAGATGGCAAAATATTTTCTACATAAAGCCAAAAAGCAGCTTTTCAAATGGAGAAAGTATTTGCAGCTCATATCAAAGGGCCTTACGATGAAGCAAATGCAAAGGTCAAGATTCCACTAGAGACCACACAGAGGACAGCACTGCTTACCAGGTGGTCACGCAAACAGGGTCATCAGTGCCCCTACCAGGTGAAATAAGATGCAGCCTGACTGTCTGAGGGAACCACAATTCTGAGTCCCACTCAGATACACGCCTCTGTCATTCAAATTGCCAAACACAACAACATTTAAAGGTTGCCAGATCTAACAAGTCCTCTCACATATCCTTGGTGGCAATATTGCTTGGCACGCACAAAACACTGCAGGGCATCAACAGGAACTCAGGCATTTAGATAATGGAGTGTGTGGTGCAGTCTTCAAGCAGGATGTAGGAGCTCTGTGTTCACCATGCCTGTTACCATTCTTTGGGCAAACACATGCGCATGTGTGCATGTGAGTAATTATGTCTACACACGTGTCACATACTAAGAAAATCCTGGGGCTTCTCCAGAACTAGTTAGCAAATGGAATCCATTAATCATGGCTCTTTCAAAGGGTGCAATGGTTGACACATTGTGTCAATTTGAGAAGTTTAGAAATTCAGAAGTTTAACTAAGCAATTCTGCAAGGGGCCCGGGTCTTCACTTTCACCCTGAGCCTGTGCAAGAGGAGGGCAAGGAGATGGAGTGAGTGCTACACCTACCCTACCCAGAGGTGGGGGTAGCCTAGTTACACTGTAAGGGAGGAAAAGAGGCTTGCTCTTCCCCCTTTTTGCTTTTGCTGCTTTTGCTGTCTTGTGATGCCTTGTACTGTTGCCCCTGCGCCATGCCACCCTGCCTTGGAGCCAGCTGATTATGGACTGAAACCTCCAAAAACTGTGAGCTAAATAAACCTTTCCTCTCTTGATTTTGAGTGTTGGGTATTTTTTCTCAGCAAGTTCAGAAAAGTAACCAACACAGAGGGGCAGTCATGGTTTATAATGTACATTTATAGATATGTTTGGATTTTGAAGTAAGCATGTATCCTTAAATACTACATAAATTTAAATTCATAATGAAAAAATAAAAGTGGTCATTCATTTATAATAATTTTCATTTAAGCAGTTCTGGTCTTTATAAACTACACGTCAGCTTTAAAGCTTTTTGGTTTGGTTTTTTATCTTTACTTTGGTACTAGGTAGTTGTTTTATCTTCATCTCCTTAAAAATTTTGTGTCCAGCTACCTTTCTTTGAATTTATGTTTCAATGGAAGGCTTAAGTGCCCCGGAGAGATTGCTCAAAGAAAAACTAGGGTATATCAGTAAGACCAAGGACAGGGGGCGAGAGACAGAGAGAGGGAGAGGGCCAGGAACAGGGAGAGAGAGCCACACTTCCAGTCCAGGGTACTGCCCAGTGACCTGAATGATGTATTAGCCATTTTTCAAGTTTAAAGTTAAGAACTTTTAGAGAGATGAGAGTTTCTGCTTGTCTTTTGACACTGAAAGCCTTTCTATCACGTCTTAGCCATCCATATCTTACCAGCCAACAAAAACCCTGTTTACATTCTTTGCCTTTCGGTTTAATTACATTTCACATTATAATGATTCCATTTAGAAATGCCATGTGTCCTCAGATAAGCCCCCAAAACCCACCTCATGTAAATTTTAGAGCCAAGATTTATGAAATCATATTGTCCAGGTGTTTTATTGCATTACCTTGAAATTGCATTGTTTTCTAGTGTAGATTATCTGTTTATTCTTAAGTTATTTCATTACGTTTGGATATGAAAAATAACACTAGCTTTCTCCATACGGGTCACCAGGCTGGCTTGGCTGATGTGTTGTTTTCATACATTTTTATGATGTTCCTATAGTAAACATAATTTAATAAAGCCAAAGCACACTAAATAAATAATTGCATCTAGAAAAGCAATAAAAACAAATAAAATTAGTACTTTCATAAGTGGAAAAGGTACTTCAATTACTGCTACAAGCAACAACCCACCATAAAATGTGTACAATCATTTCCCTTATGCATATTTCTGGAATGTAATAATTTGATTGAAAAGATGAGGCGGCATACAGGAGGCTCAGGGTGCGAAGTGTACACAGTTTCCAACGGGAGATGCATAATGTCAGCCCTGGGCATCTTTAAAGGACCGATTGTTTTTCTGGCAGGCACCTTTGGCTAGTGTCATCAGACATGTGCTTAATTACATTTTCTAGCTTGTTTAACTGGAAATAAATTCCTAATGGCCAATGAGTGCTTCTTACCACTTTTCACCAAACTGTGGTGATGTTTTGGTGGAAGGCTGAGGTGCCACTGAGAAGCAGTTTAGACAGTTTTGGGCATACAAGGAGGGCAAGGGAAGCCCTGTGATAACCCAGGAGCAGGAAGCAGTGGCTAATGCAGGTAGGGTTAGGGGCAAAGCTGGGGAGGGACCTGAGCAGGCCCCACTTGCCATTTCAGCCCATGCAAGTGCACTGACATCTCAACCAGGCTAACTCAGCTTCATATGAAGCTCAGAAATCGCTCACAGCATCCATGGCAATCCCAAAGCTGGAGGGCTGCAGGAAGGACTCTGAATTCATGTCAGGAAGTCCTGTCTATGCCCTGTGAGCTGCTGGCACTCAGGAGGGGCTCTTCAGCTCCTTCCTGCTCTCCTGGGTGCAAGATGGATAAAAATACACCATCAGCATGGAAATATGCATTAGTCAAGGAACAAAGGAGTTGTATACTAAACTATTATGAATTAATTTGTTTGCACAAATACGGTAAAATCTAGCTAGGCTTGGTGGCACATGCCTGTAGTCCCAGCATTCAGGAGGCTGAGGCAGGAAATCATTTGAGCCCAGGAGTTCAGAGCCAGCCTGGTAACATAATGAGATCCTGGTCTCAAAATTAAATAAATAAAGTAAAGTCTAGGAACATGCTAAGCACGCTACTGAGCTTTGTTCTCAAAGGTGTGCAATGTGCAATGCCCCTACCACAGGCATGTCCAAGCACATGTGCTCATGAACACATGCCATGCACGTGTACCCACACAAGTGTGCACACACAGCCCCACATGATACTCATGCCTCCTGCTACATCATCCAATGA